AAAGGTCTATTAGAAGATCAAATTTGACCTGCGATGATGATTCCCACTCCCTATCCACCCAATTATAAAAAATTAACATTCTAATCCAGTGGATTTCTAACTGTGCCACAGGCGTGCTGCATCCCCAAGGCACAAAATGCTAAATGTACGGGATCACCAGATACTAATATATTGAAATTTGTTACATTTAATTATAAATATATTATATATATGGTATTTTTTAATAATATCATCATCCGTATCTCTGGATATAATTGCATAATATAATGAATAAGTTTCAATGCAACCACGCAGTGCTGTGCCTTTTAACAGCTGTTACTACCTCACAAGCATGAATTGTGTAGGTTACAATTTAACTGATAATGTGATGTAACACATAACATCTGTTGGTCACAACCTATGACACAAAGCAAGGCCTTGCATTGGGCCCAGCGTTAAACTAGGACATGTGGGTGGCTCATTTAAAACAGATTCCAGTCAGTTATTTAGCGCAGTTATTTATATGCACTTTCCCTCTTGTAATAGTTCAAACACGTCTTTGCTTGAAAAATGAGAAAAGCCAGAGTTCTTAGTTTAGAGTGAATGTAGAAAGCTCCTTTGGGAATGCAGAAAACAATCAACCACTGAGGAATAAAAGTAATTGAATACTGCTCACGTTTTCTAGATCTACCCATGCAGATCTTGACGGTCTGTGTGACTCGAATGAGTGAGTATATGTACATCATAAACATAAATTTGTGCTCTCTGCAATCGCAAACATGACTTTCACTACATCATCATGTATAAATGATCTTGTTTCACTTTGGATCTCCATTACCACCTTGTTTTTGACACTGCAGTCATAGTTGACTGAGGCACTGCAGTCATGTTAAATTAGATTAGATGATGAAATTTTAAAGATTGCCTGAAGGTAAATTGGGTAAATTATTACTTGTTCTAACATCAGCAGTTATGGCTCCACATTGACAATGCTTGTTTGGCTGATTAGAGATGTGCCCCACCTCCACCACCCTGCTGCCCTGCAAAACACCCACTCACTCTCTCTCAACCTTTCTGTCTCTTTCTCCCTCTCTCTCTCTCTCTCTCTCTCTTGCTTTTACAGGCACACACATACGCACACTAACACACACATACACAGCCTTTCAATGGTCTAACCTCCAAAAACACCTTTTTTCGGCGATGGGAAATATCTCTGAATAATTCATCACTCATCTCACCTTGAACAGTGCGCTCCTGAATAAAAGAGCGTTTTAAAGAGCCACTCATAGATGTACACACACGCAGATGGACACACACTTGCATTCTGTCTTTCTCTATTCCATGCACAAACACACACATACACACACACACACATACACACACACACACACACACAAACTCTCCCGCACACACATGCTTACACTGCCTCCTCCTGACAGCACTGCAGACAAACTAACAGAGAGTGGAGGCAGATGAGTTGCTTTGGCAGCATCAGAATAAGACAGACATAGAAGGGTGAGGGCTTGTCACTATCAAACTGCCTCTGTTGAGACAAGGCAGGCTGTCCACACGGCTCAGTCACAACAGCTTAGCGTAGAAGACCTCCATATTCAATCTGCCACCATGAGTGGAACAGAGAAATTGGCTCTTTCAGCAGATTCAACCAGCATGTCTACTGGTAGCGTCACACAAGAATGGAAATGGAAGGGGGGCTTTAATGATGCCCTTGACACCTCAGTTAAATGACACTGATTACGCCATAGCTTAGAAAGATCCGGGGGTTATGCAAAATGCTTTTTTTATCATAAATGTTGTGATTCAGAAACCCTTAGAACTGTGTAGAATCAGAAATTCATCTTTTCGTGTACATTTAGTCATTTTCTTTCCATTTTTCTTTTCATCTTGTACCAGCTGCAGTACAAGTATTGTTGGTGGAGTGAGGCACATCTATAATTTTAGAGCACTTAAAAACATTTGGCATGTAAGGCAGCAGCCTCAGTAAATGTTAGTGGTTCTTTATTGGTTGTTTTTTCAGGAGATAATAATTGTTTGGCATTATTAAACATACTTCAAGTGTTCAGCTTTCCTCTCTCTTATTCACTGGTGCGTAATTGTTATGGTTAAAAACGATGAAAATTATGAAATTTTGCTTTCTTACAGAAAGTTAGTTGAGACGGTCAGTAGCACTCTCACTCAACCTCACAGTGACAACAAGACTCCAGGAAGTCACCATGTCCGGCCAAAAAATAGTCCCATACATAAAACCTTAAAACTCATTGAACCACAACTTGTCATTTTTAAACTTTGTTTTTTGCACAGATTAAACAGAATGGATACAAGATAGATAACGTGAGCTTTACATGCGCTAGTTGGTAGATTTATGTACCTTTGGACGGAACCAGGTTAGCTATTTTCCCCTGTACCCAATCTTTATGCTAAGCTAAGCTAACTGCTCACTGTAGCTTCATATTTATAATGCAAACATGGGAATGGTATCAGTTTTCTCACCTAGCTCTCGATAAGAAAGCGAATACAATATTTTCCAAAATGTCAGACTGCTTCTTTATACAATAAGATCCCATTATTCTCACTTTCACTTGCAGAGGTAATAATCCATCTATCCTGTACAGAAAACATTCACTAAGTGTCATTTGTCTTGTTCCTTGTCATCCTAGTCATTGTTTGCCACTGAAAGTTAAATGAATGTGCAGCTGTAAAAACTGATTGATGGGAGAACTTAAATAATATTAATATTTAAAATGTTTTCACCCCACCCCCACATTTCTTTTTTCCACGATCCCCTTCCCCTCAGCATTGTCTATGTCCCAGCCCATCAGGTGGATGAGTATCGTACCCATCTGTGTTTACCCTCTCTGGCATCCATCGCAGCAGACAGCGCCTCTTCCTCACCCACCCCACCAAACCCATCTCCAGAACCTGCCTCGGCCCCGGCCAGGTCCCTCGGTCCAGTCAGAGTTGTAGCTCCGTCTCCAGCTTCGTCCAACCTCAAACACCCTGCCTCAGTCGCATTTAAAGCTGCAGCTCCAGATCCAGCAGTAGTCAGAGCCTCTGTTTCATTCAAAGGCCCCACCATCACCCTGGCCCCAGACTCAAGGTAATGTAAGATCCAGAGGTCTCAGCCTATTATTTATGGTCACCTAATCCCTACTCTGGCCCCAAAGTGCAGGATAAACCTGTCTCAGGGTTTATTAGACTTCAAGGCTCCAGCTTTATTACATGTTGATATGTTTGCTGCAGAGAATTCAGACTATGAAACAGCTATACATTCTGCCTGATGTGAGTTCTTTTAATATGTTATCCTCAGGCTTTTGATTTGTATAGCAGCCAGGGTTTTATTACCGTAACACATCACACATTTCAGTTACCCAGCAGCTTAAGTCATACTAATGATCTGTGTTATTATGTGACACTTTAATTAACCGTATCCATGAGGAAACAATGTGTTTCACTGTGCAACCAGCTCAGCGTGAGTCTCTTCCAGTCCGTATTTTCTCTTCTCCATTCTTTTTGTGGTAAAAGGCAAAAGCTTCTCTGAATGTTGAATCTCTGAGTTATATTTAGCCATTCGCTTATGGATCTCAGTGCTGACTGTCAGCGAAAATGAATTGTTTCACTTCTGTCTGTCCCTGCTTTCGCTCCATCTTCGTGCCTCTGCCTTTCTCCTCTCTCCCTCCCTCCCATTTCTCTCTGCAGCCTTTTCTTCGCTCTTATCTTTAGATGCATTGTCTTTGTCTCTTCTCTGCTAGACTTCTTTCTTGACTCTTTGTGCCTATGTCCGTCTCTCATCTCTCTCTCCCTCAGTCGTCTCCCTCTGGTCTTTTTCTCTTTACCTCATTTTCTCCCTACTCATCCCTGCTTTGGTCTTGTCCCCCTCTCCTGGCCACTCTCTTTCAGCCCTGGTGGAACCATTTGTTCTGCCCTCTTCTGTAACTTAACTGGCTATAGGCTCCTGCTGCGCAGATAGCACCACTATCACTCACCTCCATGGGCTTATTACAGCCCTCCGCCGTTAAATATATTCATGAAAAATTCTCTCCTTCTCTACCTCTTTCTTGGGTGCACACACACACACACATACACACACACCTATATATATACACAGAGATACTGTATAAAATGTGTGTTAACAATCACATGCACAAACACACACATACGCACACACACAAATAAAGACACTACCTCCTTACTGTGACCTCGCAGGCAGAAAATGTGTATTTTCTTCTGAAGGCCCCACCAATATAGGTCACTTTTGGCGGTATTTGGCAGTGTATCAGGACTGGAAACAATAACATAGTACGTCAAAGATGTGTTGTTATCCACAGAACGCCTGCTAGCGTGATCTCTTTATTTCGAGTGAAGGCTGCAACTAAGGATTATTTTCATTAAGGATTACAGTAATCTATTGATTATTTTTTTGATATAAAACATCAGAAAACTGGGAAAAAATGTTGTCACAATTTTCCAGACCTCAAAGTGATGTCTTCATTTTTTTAAATTTATTTTACAATCAACAGTCCAGACATAAATAGACATAAAAGAAAGAGAAAAGCAGCAAATCGTTACATCTGAGAGGCTGGATTGAAATAATATTTAACCACTTGCTATTATATGAGTATTAACTGAATGCATCTTTGTTTTAAATAAAATAAAATAAAATAGTAGGAATAAAATATTTAAAATAAGATTTTATGACAAGATAGTTAACTGATTTGAGCATAAACAGTGGTATACATAATAATGCATGCTATTTTGTCATCAGTTGGCAGATTCCAAAATATCTTCCTCACAAGAACAGAGGGGAAGGAAAAGAAGATGGAGAGACTGTGGAAGAGAAAAAGGACAAGAGTACTGTAGATGGGAAAGTAACAAAGATGAAGGTGGAGATAAAGGTCGATGGTAAAGAGGAGGGAGAAGAGGAGCTCCATTCTCATACCACGGTGACTTGGGATCAACCCAGAAGGTAAATGAATCAGTGATGTAAATAACAGTTTTTTTTATCAGATTTTATTCAGATTTTACATTGTCTGTCTTTTTTTCAAAACTCTGCCCATGATGCCCTTTATCCTCTTTCTACCAGAGAAGGCTTAGTGAAATCCTAGTGTGCTCAGGTTATGTTCACAGCAGGGATAGAGCAGCACAGTGCCAACTCAACATGCTCATATTTCTTAGGCCCAGAGAGAGCGACTACTTTCACAACCTGTATTTATCGCATTTATGACTGCATCCCCCCTTGGATAAATCACATAAGCTGCAGTGCATGCAAAGACCAGCTTTTGTGTGTCTCATAATATTCTATTGTTTTGACTTAATCTCTGAATCCCTAAGCAGCAGACAGAGGGAGACTGAAAGAAAAAAAGCATTGGATTAATTCTCCTTCTTGTGCATTTTTGCAGTAATGTTTCAAATGGCTGTCATCAGGCATACAGAAGACATGCATTCATCATCACTGTACATATACTGTAAGAAGGATTAACAGCTCTGCACTTTGTATGGATGTTCCTTGTATCCTGCTTTGTGTTCCAGTGTGCAGCTGACTCGAGCACCAGGCCAGTCCCTGGGCATCAGCATAATGGGAGGCAGAGGCATGGGCCGGAGACTGAGCAGTGGAGAGATGATGAGGGGAGTCTTCATCAAGCACATCAGCCCCGACAGCCCGGCAGCACATAATGGTACCCTCCGGACTGGAGACAGGATACTAGAGGTATGTGTGTGTGTGCTTAACTGTGTGGGTATTGCAGATACAGAGGAAGAGACACACCTATTGCAGGAAAAAGGAGTGTGTGTGTGTGGCAGAGAGACTGAAAAGAAATCAAAAAAGGAAGTGTTTCTGCTTCATTAGCATGTGGTCATACACTGTATTCTGTGTGTGTGTTGTGGCTGAATTTGCACTCATCTGGTATTGTTTGTGGACTTTGTTGTATTGAACGATGACAATTTGATAATAATATGATATAGAAATGAACAATCCCGCTGCCTAAATAACCAGACAATGCTATTCACTCTAACCCATTATCTACTGTAGGTACGTTTAGCTTTATTGTCACTGTACAATACAGGATTGCACAATAAAATGCAATTGTGCACCCCTCCATGCTACACACACTTACACTTTGTCAATGTAACAAAGAAACAGAATTTAAATAGGTGACTAATACTTTTTAAGTGTGTTTTAGGTGCAAAACTTCTTTATACAAACTAATAAAGTGCACAGTAAAATACCTCACTGTGTCTTCCCTACACATATCTTCCAAAAGAACAAAAAGATAGGACTATGTTGCTAATTAATGAGGAGGACAGCTTTAATGCACTATGGGATTTACATGATTGACACATTATCGTGATTCCTTGTTCATTCAGGTAATTTCACTAGATCAGCCTAAAAACAGACATTTTAATTATTTATCTATATCTAAACTGTTTTTAAATTCCATTTCCAGAAAATGTGGCAGATTTGATCCATGTGGCACACTCCTATTAGCCATATCATGACACATATTAGTGTAGGACATACACTTAAT